AATGCTATTACTCGCCAGGGCTTGGCTCCGCCCGACAGCGTTTCCCAATATGGCATGATGATAAATACTCAACTTGGCGAAGATACTGTGCAGAACGGGTGGTCTCTAATGGATCAACAAGCCAATTTTGAAATTGTGCTCACTAACCAAAGAGGGGGAAAGAGAGGTCCGTTCAAGGACCCAAATCTCCGTGAACAAACTGCCCAAACCCGAAAGATTGGTTCCTGTATCAGGTGCAGAATGCAAAGAATTCGTGTAAGTAACACTGTCTGGTTCTGTTACATACGATGATGTCTTACTGTAACGTACTTTTTGGCTGGTGCGCAAAGGCCACTAACCAGTGATGCAGTGTGAAAACAACCCCGAGGAAGAGGGAGGGGCCTGTTTGACATGCAAAAAAGTCTCCAATTCGAGAGCGGGGCGCTTTCCTTGTCTCAGATACAAGATAACAGATATCCGACTTTTCAAACCGGGCCAAGTTCCCGGTTATGAATGGACACGACGATGGACCAATAATATCTCGGATCCGATACAGAGCTGGGCTACGACTGAAGAGCCCAGAACCATATATCTATCCGAGGGCCTATCGAATAAGTTTGTTAAGGTGAAGGTTCAACGATTCATTCCTCAAGCTGGTGACAAGCTGGAACGTACTTGGGATTACAAGGGTGTCAAGAAATCCGTGAAGATTCCTCCGTATGCGATGGTCAACCTCGAGGAGGCGAAGAAAGAGTACCTGGACCACATTGAGAATAGCATGCAGGATGCTTTTACCAAGCTGCTTGGACCACCTGAAGGCCTGCTATTCCGAACATACTTACGTGCTTGGAAAATCTTCAAAGACCCGTCCACTACGCCAGAGTGCGTGGAACTTATTCATCATACACTCTTGTTGTGGATGTCGATTCGTCTGACAACGCGGTCGAGCTTCATTGTTGGAGAAGAGACCTTGGGGATGAAGCAAAACATCCTGGACGAAACGAACCCGAATCATGGCAAGATCCCTCTTCCGCCTGTACTTGGCGCTCAAATGGATCTTATCCTGATTCACCACATACAGACCAAGCTGCGAAGGGAGCTTCTTGACAAACTTCAGAAGATGATGTCAAAGAACAAGCAGAGCACTTGGCTAGTGACGTATCTTGTCATCTTCATTCTTTTGCATAACACAGCTCTCATCACAGCTCATGACGCTGGATACGCGAAGAAGCACGGCATGAAGGTAAGAGAGCCCCGAGAGTCGACAGTGGCCTGCGAAGTTTGCTGATCATCGGTGTACTTGCAGCGACGGTTTGCACGTGAGGAGAAGGTCAAAGAATACCACCTAGGTGAGTCAAACAACCACCCTGGTCCATCCTGCACAGAAGCGCTTGCTGACTGAACAGGCGCAAACATCTTGCTCGCACACTTCCACTACTGTAATAAGGGCATCTACCCTTTCTCGGAAGATTGCAAAGACCAAGACTTGCGAACACTGGCAGGCTTGGATGAAGAAAAGATCAAGTTTGTCCATCATACTAGCAACCTGGCTAGACGACATGGTAAGTTGACCCTCGGGGATGAAGAACCATACAGGCTGAGACAATGGCTCTCTAATCTGATGCTAACTTGAACTCTGTGGTTTCAGCGTTGCAATGGGAAGAAATCCGGAACAAGGCCGTGTATGAGCATGATTACTTTTTTGTCAGTCAATTGTTCGAGACGAATTGGCAACCTCGAACAACAATATGATCGGGTTTGGTTGGCCAATAACATCTCTGGTTGTCCTCTGTGGCAGTAGGGGGACAATGGGTGACTTGGAGCCAATTGCGTAGTCGCAGAGTTCGAGAAGATGCTGTACTCACAGCGGAGGTGCAGGAACTGAGACTGTATACGACGCGAATGAAGGGCGGTGAATGTGGATGACGGCGGCAACAGTAACGGCCATAATGACGATGACGATGATAACGATAATGGAAACCAATTTAAAATGCCAGGGTAACTATGGTTACGAAAAGGCGGTCAAGAGCAGGTGAGGTTCAGAGAAAGAGCCGAACTGGTGTGATGGTTTGAAGGGAAATGACATAAACAGCTAAATTGGGTGCGGAGGGCCAGTGAAGATGCTATAGCCAAAGAGATTGATGGTTCTTGTTCAGTTCCGATAAACCGCCACATGGACCAGTTCACGATACGGGACACGGCAAAGCAGCGGGGAGGAGGGTCGTAGGGGAAACAATGTAACAGGATGGAAGGGAGTGCACGCCAACAAATTGCGATGCGATGGAAGAAAAAGGATGACGGTGAGAGGAGAGGGACAGGTACACCGAGAGTGTGTGCGGCCACCTACAGAAAGAGGCGAGGGTTTGCTCACCGAGTGTCGATGGGAGACGGGCTGCTGCGTTTTGACGGCTTGCGCATTGTTGCACAGAAACACAAGGGGGATCAAAGGTTTATATGTACCAAGTTCGCTGAGGGTTGGCTCGCGGAGGGATGCCGGACGGGCCGGGCCTGGTTGTGCGGCACTTGACAAAGCCCGGGCCATTCATACCACAGCTATGCTCTGACTTGACTTGGGCTTAACGGTAGACTTGGTCGGTCTGAGAGTGTGGATAATGCAGCACTGCGTACGGAGCACTACACGATATATGTGCTTCCTACATGCTGTGTATCCATCGGGAAGAGCGGCGGAGAGATGGCGACGGGGCAAACGGGAGGGAAGAATGAAATGAGACGCGTCTATTTGCATATCCCTTGCCTTACCCTGCCTTGCCTCGCCTTTTGCTTTGCTTTGCTTTGCTTTGCTTTGCTTTGACTGTCGATTGTTGACCGTCCGAGGTGTCCGCGTCGCCCAAGCATCATTCTTTGGCCTTGGTTTGACGGGGAACCAGTAATTAGGACCCGAGGAAACGAACCAAACCTAAGCTAAGTGGGTGGCATCGGATAGTAATCCGCCAACCAATGAAGCTGTATAACGCCTCAAGTAAAGTTTAACCATTGCCAAAGGATCAATGTCGACTGCCGTGACTTTGGGCCCTTGTCGACGTGTTGAACGGACACAATACTACCTGGACTACCTATAGTAGCACAGCTACAGAGCACTGCTAGTACTGTAGGTACTGTAAAGGTGACACCAGCCAGCCACAGATAGATAAGTGAGGAACCAACAAGGTGCACATACTCCGTAGTAAGCCAATGGTGAACCACTTTTAAAACACACCTAATATTACCTAGCAATAAAGCTACGAGGTAGCTACTGGGGGATCAACACGAAGGATCATCCTTACCATGCTATTCCAGTTCGGTTAAGCTAGGATTGGGCTCTCAGCTGAGCTTGAGTCTGAGCCTCGAGCCTCTCCTAGTCGTCTTAGCTCATGTTCATTCTTAGCCTTTGGTGTTTTGCTTTTCTCAACCAACTAACTACAGCTTGGAACCATACACATCCATCAGTCAACCCTTGCTGGGGCTAGGCTTAGTACTTCTATCAATTTTCCGCTCTCCTTTCTTTTTTTTCTTTTTTCTTTCTACTCTAGTCGAGGGCCCGGACCCGTTTCCCCAAGGAATGTTACAGTGCTCTCTCGTCTCGTCTAGGTAGTCTCGTCTCGTCTCGTCTCGTTTCCTCCTCCCTTGCAATGAGAGACGACCCAGAGTTTATGTTGCTACCCAGGACTTTTGAGCAACCCGGGTACTGGTGACATGGAAAGGCGAGGAACCACGAATGAAGTACAAGATCAGCGGCAAGGCACTTACTCACCTCCAATTGATACCTCAGAATTCGTCTGCTCGTTCCGTTTCCCGCCCAGGAGATGGAGATACCGGTACCTGACCAGGCACTTTGATTGTTCAAGGTGTTAGCCCTGGAATACCTTATGGCAGGAAGTCCAGCAAATACCCGCGTTGCTGGGTTCTGTTGCAGCCTCCTGCCGCCGCGTATCTGCGACCTGCCACGAGCACGGCTACGCAAGTACCCGATCTACGTATACCCTGTCTCTTAACCCTGCCAACTTGGAAGTGCCAACCCGATGCTATCTCCTCAACAATCCCTGTGTAAGTGGTGTAAGGTAAGGTGAGGTAGCTACCCAGGTTCTAAGGTAGGTCGAAGAGGTACTGGAAATTGGATGGATGTGGAAGCCACGAAACGAAAAGCAGATCTAAGTGAAAATTTTCATTGTGCCTGCCTTCTCTCTCACATCGAACCCGAGAAAACGGGGACGGAGGAAGCATGGGAGAACGTTACACAACTTCAACATTCCAAGAGCCGCATATCCCAGGAGCTTCACCTCCATCTCTAAATTTGAACAGGGCTACCACCGATTTGCAAACATCTTGGGAAAGCTATAATAATACCTTACTAGCCTCCTACTTAGTCTGAACGTTCTTTTGATACTCCTCAACAATCTCCAATCTCAATCTCGCTCGTCAAGAACTGTTCGTCTGTGCTGCAATTTGCATGACATCCATCGTTATTGCCGTACTTCTGACACCTTGCACCTCCGTCTTTTCCTCTTTCCTCGCCCGCTGCTACGAAGTACTCTTGATCTCTCTCGCCTGTAAGTTGCGCCTTCTATTCGTGTTACTCGTCAAGGGACTTCGAAATTGGAGGCGCCTCCAACGTCACTATACCTTGACCAAAGGCACTTGCCACGATAGTATCAGACGTTCCTTTTCCCTTCTGTTTTGATCTCCGCCTTCCATTAAGCAAACGCCTTTAAGTAGACGCCTCGCACCACCAGAAGGCCCATTCCTTTTCTTCCATCTTGTTCACCTCTCTTTCAATACCCCAGCACACCTTCAGCTCACATATCATCTTTCATATTCGATCTCTTCCTGATCCACTAGGTCTCCCCGCAGATCCTGACTTACACCAGGTCATCAGACAACGGCCCGTTGCGTTTCGTAACGTATGTTCTTAACAAAACTTATACGTTCCTTTTCTCGTGTAAGAGGCTGGCTGACAGAGTACCTCAGTATCAAGACACCCCCACCAAGTCACCAGCGGTACCTCTCCCTCAGAAACCATTACCATGGCATCTTCCATAGTTGGGCCCACCATTGGTCCGAGCCCAGCCGTTGAACTAGCTCCTGCGGCCGCCGGCTGTGTCAGTCGCGTGGCAGATGGGCCGGCTGGGGTCCCCGAAGGGTGGCCCAAGTTTCTCGACGAGCCTATGGCTTGGGTTGGTCCTCAATTCACGGATGAATCGGAATACATCCACACTCTGAGCGAATCCGACCTACAGGAAGCTGAGAATGCTTTGCTGGTCTTCAAAGGTACGTCTCTTTTTCTGAGGCGCCGCTTCCGTGGCGTGCATCATGTTGCCGTTGCTAACACCAGCCAGCCTTGGGACTTGATGGGGATTGTGTCTCCCGAGACAACTTCCCTCTTCCCACTCTGGGACCAAGACTCGATCGTATCCGCCAAGACGTGTACCGAGGCAAGGGCTTTGGTGTCATCCGTGGCCTTGATCCTCAAAAGTACTCAGTCGAGGACTTGACTGTGCTGTATCTTGGCATTCAGTCTTACATTGCCAATCGTCATGGGCGTCAAGATCGAAAAGGCAATATGCTAGGTTGGCTCGAATGATCCCATTATCTTGCTTTCTTTCTCATTGACATATTTGTAGTTCATATTGTCGCCGACAACTCATCCAAGCTCAAGGCTGGTCACCATCGACACTCCACCTCCCCCATCGTAGGCTAATCTTTTCTTTATAAATCCTGGAAGGAATAGTCAACAACACTAACCTCTGCTCTAGACTTTCCACAACGAGGAAGCTGGTGACATAGTCAGTTGGCTCACACGTAGCACTGCTGTCTCCGGAGGCAAATGCATCATCGCGTCAGCCTACACTGTCTACAATGTTCTTGCTACCAGCCGTCCGGACATGGTCCGCACTCTTTCTCGCTCTGACTGGCCATTCGCCCTGTAAGTTCAGGCACTTGGTTATCTACATCCACTTGATTTGTTCTTTTCATCACAACGATAAGCAAGGAGTGCATCCGCTGACACGCTATACCGTGATAGACCCCGTTTCCAGTGCCGACCAGTCCTCTTTCATCACGAGGGGAAAGTGTTGATCAACTTTGGGCGTGTAGCTCTTACGGGGAATGCGATTCACCCACGCCCTACCAATCTTCCTGCCGTTACGCCACGCCAGATGGAGGCATTGGACTCCATTGAAAACATTGCCAAGGCGACTCAGCTGGAGATTAGCACACGTGCAGGTGACATGCATTTCATCAACAACCTCACAATCTTGCATCGCCGAGAAGGCTTCGTCAACGGTGAGGCTGCCCGAGAACGTCGACACTTGGTTCGCATGAGACTCCGCGACGACGAGCTGGGATGGAAGCTCCCTGCAGACCTGACACAGGAGTGGTCAGCTGCTTTCAACAAGGAAGCACCCAAGATCTGGCACATTGAGCCCATGCCAGACGGCTTCTTCCCCCTCAGGTCTCAGGCCAACTAAAACTGTGCATCTAGCGCTTAGAACAACCTCAGTTGTGGGTTGAACTCGCATGCATTCATGCATGCTCGCGAGACATGATGAGATAATGGGGTGCTTATCGACTTTGGAGCCGAGGCGCATAAAAAGGGCAATGGGGAATCTGGAGGCAACGGGGGAGAAATCAAAAGTTATGAACAGGGTCCTGTACTCGAGCTTGAGTATGTTTTCTTACGTTATTTTATCTCTTTTTTTTATTGGGGTGTCACGGTCGCGGAAAAGTAACAAGAATGGTTTATTATGTCTCAGGCGAACCTGGCTGTCGGTACAGTGTCGTATCTGGCTTTGTGGGCATGGCAGAATGGGCTTTGGTCGAAAAAGAGAAATCAAGGATTAATAAGTGTGTTTAAGGCTCATGCAGTATCAGCACCTAATAGGGACAGCCGAATACAAGGAATCGCATGCATAACGTAGATCGAGATGCTCAGGCACAGAAGACGATAAATGTGATATGTGATAGTGTGACAAGTCTAATTCGTACATGTACCAAGCTACAAGAATTGTTTCGTTTAGGTTGGGAATAAGCCGGGAGTCTCACGGCAGAGAGCTGTGCGCTCTCCCATTGGCAACAGTCGGGGGAGAAGTCGAAAGTGTCAGGGGTGCTCTATAACTAAGCATGCAAATCCCTTGTTCTGGAGTTCTTGCAGCTCAGAGAATGCTGAGCAGAGCCACACGAAACGAACACATACCCATAGCTGCGATGCGGCAAGACGAGACAACGAGGCTTGGAGGCTGGCGGAAAGCCGGCATAGTAAGACTCAAGACCAGGGATGGAACGCCTCAGTGGGGGACTTGTCCAATGTCAACAGATACCAAGGAAAAGCTGCGTGCTGAGACAAGAGATATAAGATGGTAGTCTCAGATTTAGCACAGAATGACTTGCTTTCGATAGTTGGTCGAGATGTGTTTAGTTTCAGATGATTGGTTACGTTGGCATGGTGAGACAGCAAAGGCAAATATGGTGTTGGATAAAAGGCGAGAATGCACAGTACGTAGCTCTCTCTGGTTGATGTTCTCCGATTTTTATCTGGACTACTTCTGTGAGCGCGAAAATAACTGAAGGGGCCTTTTGCTTTTTACTTGGCTAAAGCCACCCACCGAGGGTTAGGTTCGGAGAACTTGCTTTGTATTTCATCGTCATCTCATATACCGACCGATCCACCTTGCATTGCATTCCGTGTCACGAGGCGGCCATTTCCCGTTCCTCGAAATGGACTTTGGTCATGGATTGATTAATGGCGGTCAAGAATGCCTAGCTGGGATCGATGGCGAAGTGATTGACTTTGAGAGCAGATCGAAGGGAGGAAGACGACAGCTGTCAAACGGCCCACAGGCAGACGATATACTTCTGTTCCTGATGAATGATGGTTTTGATACCATGATAGGGTAGCTAGCAGCTTGTTTCAAGACCTGAGTGGCCAAGGAAATGTCCCTTATGGAGGAACCCCGGGTTTACCTTGCGCTCTGTGCCTCGAAACAATGATGACTGGTCTGCACATGATCACAAAGATAGCGACATGTTGCAGCTCATCGTGATGGTCTTGGAGACAACAACAAATGTCGCCAATCCTTGACGAAATTGGGCAGAGAGGGCGGGCCTCGATACACGACTAGAATGACGCGTTGCCATGTAAAACAGGCCATATATGCATCAGGATTATGGATGAGGCGTTGAGAGAAGGGGCAACGAAGCCGTCACGACTAGGTTTACATTGCTTACATTCTCAAAATAGACTCGAGATCTGATAAGTGAGGTGGAAACGACGGTGAGATCCATAGTCACGGGGTCGGCGATCCTGGCGCTTGTTTCTGTTGTGGGTATTAAGCCACCCGGCAATATCGGTACAGTGTGTATGACACAGTACCTGTTAATTTGTCGTCGCTCTGCAGGGGCGCTAGCAAATGCCCCTCAGCGTTACGGGCAGCCGAAGATCGGATTCCATCCCCTGTCTAACAAGGCTTGAAGGGGAGCCATGATAACCTAACACAGTGCATGGCTGACCATCCAATTGGCCACCTTCCCCTTGCACAAGGCGGGCTAGTCCTAACGCGCAGGGGCAATCAATTCAGCGTCTCAACCAATCTTCAAAGAAGCAACATCATCAGCATCATTAAGCAAATCAATCGAACTCAGCACCTCCGAATTATAGCGCTTGCCGCCTCAGAGCGACACCCCCGTCTGTTTCTCCTCTCCTCTCCTCTCTTTCCTCCATCAGTTTCCCAGGGCGTAGGTTGAACGGATTGTTTCATCGACTATCCACTGTCATTGAGATTACTTCTCCAAAACACAGCCCCGTGCCAAAGGGGTACACACTACCGAGTACAGCCCAATCTTCGCTTGTGCTGGTCATAAAGATTGGCTGTTGAGACAGCATAGTTATCACGCATCAACCTACAGTCCACCCGTCAACATTGAATCAACCTTGTATCAATATGGCTCCAGCTTCAGGAATTCTTAAGTCAAAAGCAGCCCCGGGTGCTTCGGGCTACCAGGCAGTGCATCAAGATGAGGGTGATGGCCACGATGATGGCCCTAGGGAACCTCCCACTCAACCAATCATACCGCGTGGCCCAATTCGTTCATACAGGAACACCATAATGCTTCTATCAGGCCTTGTCGTTATTCTTATGGCCATAAACCTTTATCTTAGCCTCCCGCTTGCCTTTGCCGGCTCCGGCTCCGGCTCATGTCCGGGGGACCCACCCCGAGTTCCCCAGTATTTTCAGACGTCGCCGCAACTATGGCCCGGCGTTACCGAAACTGGAAAGCCGGCTTTCATGGCACAAACCCACGTCTTTGAGCCTACTGCCACATTTGTCCCCAATGATCCGTTACAGACATCTATCCCTATCGAAGGCATGAAGGAGGGTAACCGAAGCATCTTCCAGATGATGGGTTACCTGAGCCCTTATTCTCCATCTACAGGCTTCGGCGTGGACGAGTATCCAATCCCTCCAGGCGCTGAGATCGTTCAGGTCCAGATGCTTTCTCGCCATGGTGCCCGATATCCAACTCCAGGTTCGAACGTCGCAACCCTTGGTGATCGACTTGCCAATGCTTCCGCTGGCCTCAAGACCAGTGGTGCCCTCGAGTTTTTGATGGACTGGAAATACGAACTCGGAAAGGCCATCCTAGTCCCAAGGGGTCGACAGGAGCTCTTCGAGTCTGGTAGGAGTTTATCTTTTCGCAACTTGAAACTTGAAACTGATAAACAGTCTAGGCGTCTTGCATAGTTACATGTATGGTAGCTTGTACAACCCTCAAAGCAAACTCATCGTCCGAACTACAGTCTGTGACCTTCGTTCATATGCCAACCAGGTCTCAAGATACTGACAGTGTATAGACTCAAGATCGCATGCTGAAATCTGCAGAAAACTGGATGGCTGGCTTCTTTGGCCTCGAGTGGTAAGCGAGAGTCGCCCAAGGTGTTTGCTGCATTATTCTGACAGCAGCAGGACCAATAATGCCACTATCGAAGTGATCATAGAGGCCCCTGGTTTCAACAACTCCCTTGCTGGAGGACTAAACTGCCCCAACTCCGACAAGGCGGACTATGTGACTCCTGTGGCCGCATGGTATGACAAGTACCTCAAAGACGGTATGTCCCTTCATCAGATTTGCAGACCAACAACTGAAGAGTCACTTAGCAACTGCCCGATTCAATAACGTGACAGAGGGTTTCACGTGGACACCAGCAGACGTCTGGGCTGCACAAAACATGTGTCCCTATGAAACTGTTGCATACGGCTTTAGTAGATTCTGTGACCTCTTTACATACGAGGAATGGGAACACTTTGGCTACTCTATCGACCTTGGATTCTCTTCTGGGGCTGGGTTCCAAAGCCCAGTAGGCGTAAGTTGACTCCTCTGGCAACCCCAACTCTGCTAACCAGAGTTACAGCGAGCTACTGGTCTCGGCTATCAACAAGAGGTCATGGCAAGGCTTAAGAATCATACCCTTGGTTACTCTGGCTCCCAGATCAACACGACACTGGATAGCATGAAGGAGACATTTCCTCTGAACCAAAGTCTTTACTTTGACTTTTCTCACGACACCAACATCATCTCTATCCTAACAGCCTTTGGCCTTCGCCAATTTGCCGAGGAGCTTCCCACTGACAAATATCCTGGCGAACATGAGTTCGTTGTTTCTAAGCTGACTCCTTTCGGTGCGCGTTTAGACATCGAAATCATCAAGGCGCCCAGCCCTGTCTCACCAAAGAGAGACGGCTACCTTGATGGCAAAGAGACCAAGTACATTCACTTCGTACTCAACCAGCGCACTGTGCCTCTGGGCAGGAGTTTTCCGGAATGTGACGTCAGCCGTAAGGACGGCTGGTGTGACCTGGATACATTCATCGAGGTTCAGGACAAGATGGCAGAAAAGGCACAGTTCGACTACTCTTGCTTCGGAGATTACTCGTCACTACCATATGGTAAAGTAACAGACGGAGTGCCGCCTTCTTGAGAGAATGTGTGACTTGGCATATAAAGATACAGTTCGGGCGTAAATTTGAGATGCCATCTAGATTTAGCAAAACGACAATCGCCCGTTAGTCCTTAATTGTAGTTAGCAATTAGAATCGGCGCAGCGTGTATTGTTGGATAATTGGAAGCAAGACTGTAGTACAATTCTAAAAGACCAGTGCAGCTTCAGGACCCTTGACTGTTGCCTCATCGAGATATGTATAAATAAATATATGTAGTGATCTGATTTGTAACTGTCTATAAGACCACACAGATGGAACAATATTATGTACGTATCCAATGGCCTGCATCGCTTTTCCAAAGCCATCCACATCTACCAAGCGGGTATTAAAACAATCCGAGGCAGATACGTCGAAAAGATGGTAAAATCCGTAACGCCTTTGCCTGCTACTCCTAGCATCCCGCGAGTTAAAAAAAAAAAAGAATCCTAGCAATAAATAACCCCTCTATATCAAACAAGGCTAATATGATTCGCAATATATAACATCGCCATAAGCAAGTTTAAGCATGCTTCTCGTTAATCACCGCGTCGGGTGCAACAACATCGGGCGTGTTAAGAGAAGGAGTCTTGCGGACATCATCGGATTCGCTTGGGTTCATCATAGACTGGTGCTCCTGAATGCCATGGGTAGGCTCAAGCACATCACCATCTTCAGCGGGCTCACCACGGTGAGGGCTCCAAGCAAGGAAGTCTCGGCGAACCTCAACGTAGTCGTAAGAGAACTCGCCGTGCTGGTCATCGTCCATACCAAGGAGCTCAGCCTCTTCGGAGGCACGGAGCTTCAGTCCAGGAATGAAGTCGATAATCTTGGCGATGATGGCAGACATGACGAAGGCATAAGCGGAGGCAGCGACAATGGCAGCGATTTGCCAGCCAATGATGACGTAGTTGCCATCCATGAAGCCACCTGTAGCACCGGTGTTGACACCGTCGAGGCCAATGATAGAGCCACGGGCGAAAAAAGCATTGAAGATGAGACCAACGATACCACCGACACCGTGCTCGGCAAACACATCGAGAGAGTCGTCAATTCGAACAAGGAACTTGACTACATGGGAGGTTAGCGATTGTGTGTAAAATTAAATGACCAGACGACTTACTCTTTGTGGCAAAATTGCAAGCGACACCAGCGACAACACCCAGGATGATGCTAGCCCAAGGGTCGAGGAAACCGGAAGCAGGAGTAGCAGCAACAAGACCAGAGATAGTGCCAGAGCACCAGCCGACCATGGACCACTTACGAGCCAGGCGGAAATCGAGAATGCACCAAGTCATAGCAGCAAACATGGCAGTGAGGCAGGAGTTCCAGCAAGCCATAACAGCACGGAGGTTAGCACCGAAAGAAGAGCCACCATTGAAGCCGAGCCAGCCGAACCAGAGGAACATGGTACCGAGGGTGATGAGGGAGATGTTGTGAGGACGGAAGTTCATCATCATCTTCTCGTTGCGGCGGCCCAGAACCCAAGAGTAGGCGAATGCGGACATGCCGGAGCCAATCTCGACGGGAACACCACCAGCGTAGTCGAGAACGCCGTTAACGAAGCCCCAACCATTAGGGTTCCAGACCCAGTAGGCGAGAGGGCAGTAGACAAGAGTGGCCCAGAAGAAGATGAACACCATGCTTGGCACAACGCGGCCTCGCTCGGCGACAGCGCCGACTGTAAGAGCGCCAGTGACAGCGCAGAACATCATCTGATAGAAAGAGTAGAGCAGAGCAGGGATAAGAGGAGATCCGACTGAGGGAGCACCCCAGACCTTCATAAGACCGAAATGCTTGAGATCACCGATGAAGGGGTTGTTGGAAGTTGTAGAGAAGGCGAGAGAGAAGCCCCAGAAGTACCACTGGAAGACAATGACGGAGAAGGACATCATAACAACCCAGAGCATGGAGAGGGCTGATTTTCTTCGGGCAAGACCAGAGTACAGGAAGGCGATGCCAGGGACCATGAGAAGGACGAGGCAGGCGGAGAGGATGATGAAGGCCTGGTCGCCAGATTGGTACCATTGGTTGAGGTTCTCGGTAGCTGGGGAGAAGAATCGTGTTAGTATTGGGTTGTGATGATGAGTTTTCGCGTTGTCGACGATGGAAAAACCTACTGGAATCACCACCAAGCTCTTCATTGGTGCCATTGAAGGCAGTCGGGGGTCCAGGGATAACATAAGACATGTTGGGTTATTGTGTGTATAAGGTCTCGTGGGATCTCGTTTCGCGTATTCGTCGGGTTCAGGTTGTGTCGAAGTATGGAAGAAGATGAGATTCGATGAATCTGAGCAGATCTCTCTCCCGTTGAATGACGAGCAAGGTGAAGTAGGTAAGTGACGACTGAGTCCTGAAGAGGAAGAGCAAGACGAAGAGGAAGGAAAGCTCCACCGGATACAGGAAGTTATGGAAACAACCTAGTGAGATAAAAACGGAAGGGAATATGGAGAAGAGGAACAGGAAATGCAAGTGATGGGGCAAGACTTTAATATAATTGTTTGAGATGCCTACATACAGTACCTACTACTCTATCTTAGACTCAACCCAACGCCAAATCCAGATCCATATCCATATGCATATCCATGCCCCATGCCCATGCCGGCCGCGGGTCTGTCTCCATGAGCCAAAAACGCCATGGATGTCCTGGGCGTGGGACAATTTGTTGCAGATCTCCTGGTATGGTACGGGCATAGATAGAGGCGCGACACACAACGAGAGACAAAGAGATAGAGATAGCAGCAAAGCTGAGCTGGGGGGTACCAGAGATAGGTAGAGTCCAGGGCAGAGATAGCGAGTCTGAGGGTACGTACCGGCATGGCTCAGCCTTTCACAGGGCTGTACGAGCACCGGTTAGTCGCTGTGATACCGCCACAGATTGATCTGATACAGCGTAGCAAGTGTAGTAGTAACCAGTTGGACACATACAAAAACCACAAACCACAAACCATCTCATGGATGTTTATCGGTACGTACCCCCCAAATGATAGAGATAAAGATAGCGGCGCCTGCATGCTCTGTCCAGGTACCGACCCTAGCGTTGACGGGCTTACACGTCTTTGGTAAAGCGTCTACTATGTCGACTCCTCTTTGCGCCGTTCTCGGCTGGTTCCTGGGTCTTGGAGATCGAAGAAACACCCCTGTCGTCTGTCGTCGTCTCGTCCCGGACAGAGTCCGCATCTTTGGTTTTTGGTTTTTGGGGTTTTTTTTTTGTTGTAACACGCCCTCCGAGACGCCCGATCTTGACTTGAACTTGATTTGGCGCTGAGAGGCTTCGCATTAACAATGCACTGCCCAAAAGGAAGAAGGAAGCTTACCGTGCGTGGAAAGCCTCACATTGTTCGACACGCATGGCCAGAAATAAAGCGTCATACAATTTCATTTCCTATTTTATAAATAAAGGAATTCATGCTTCGTGTAATCTATCTAGAAAGCTGGGTGTAAGACCCTGTGGCACCAGTCACAAATGGGGGCTGTCGTCTTGGGCATCAGCCGTCCAGAATCTATGCGAGAGACCTGAAATCTCATATCTCATTGGGCCGTTTCGAAGCTGGGGAGAGAGCCAGAAAAAAAGAACGGGAAAATCCTCCAGCTTCGAGGGACGGATCCCCTGGGGTCTGGAGTTTGGGGGGCGCCGTTGACGTGTGATATCTCTGAACGAAGCGTGGGGTTTTCTGTGTCAGAGACCTCCGTTGACAGATTGTTCCATGTTTGAGAATCAAGATCATGGGGGAAGCTGGCAAAAAGAAAAGAACAATCTTAAATATTGCCTGGACATGGATGAGAAGACTCGGCTGATATCCGTAGATAGATATCGAGCCGAAATTTGAGCAAAGCTGAAGTTAATCAGTTCAGCTGGCATTGGAAGTGTATGTCTGTGTATGCATGGACTGTCGATACAAGCTTGATGCAAAGTTGTTTAGGCCTCGCCGTTGTCGGTTCACAAACTACGTAGTAGCCATCGCCAATGTTTATCCATTCTGTGATGATGAATTCTTGACCGAGACCTTTGCATCTTGTGGATCGAGGCGAGAAACGGGCATCTTGAATCATCGGAGACTAGAGAATCGTTGGCTCACTGATCGTCGTGTGTAAATGCGGAGAGGGAGCCAAGAGGGAGGGTTGGTCCGATTTACTAGGCCAGAAAGGATTATTCCATTACAGTGAACGATGTGTAAAGCCGTTTGATTGCATTACTACCGCCAAACCTCAAGTTGTGTCAGTCCTGTAGGTAATATCTGGGGTACGCGAGGTATGGCTGAGGCATCAGCTACAGTTAAAGCTACAGCTACAGCTCTTTTTGTCCCTGACTTCTTGGCTCTTGAGAAGTCGCCCGATAATCGTATTGAAGACCGAGAGCGCAATCTCTTGGTCTTGGTCTGGTGTGATAAGTTAGATAGCCATCTTGCTCGATGTCAAAGAACTGCAACGCATGTCTATCCGTAACAGGCTTGGCGAGATATGGAGACTGGCTACCAATCGCTTCATCTCCAACGTCACCGCGCACTTGAGCATTGGATGGTTTCGTTTAAGCAAAATAACCTTCTTTTGCTTCCCTCCCACCTGCGTCTCACACGTGAACCAAGCTTCCAAGATATTGTACGCACCATCCCGTCCGTTGCTAAAGCGTTGGCGTCACTCAGATAAGAACAATGTTTTGCCCGCAATTGGTCCCCAAGTATCGGAAGCCGTCCAAAGCGAGCATCTCATTTGGCGCCCCTCACGTGTGAAGAGCAATTGTGCATGGCTCTACTCCGTAGGTAATTCTCTTATCAGACGCACAAGTCAAAAGAAGGTTGTTGTCGTTAGGTTTTTGTGGGGGGAGGCTTGATCGGTACTTGGGTACTTTGCCAATTCGTGTGAGTAAAAAAGTTGTTTAATGAGAACAAGGGTAGATTGCTAAATTCATGGACACATCGTAACTCGTCAACCAATCACAAGCCTGACGCCATCTTCGCCGGGGACATTTTCTTCAATTCGTGTTTTTGGAAGTTTGCCGTGTTTAATAAAGAAAAGCATTTCATCAATTTATTACTTTTATTTACATGGCATGCTACTCATATCCAGTGATGCTCTCGTGGTTGCAAATCTATCAGTCCCCCCAATAGATGCTTTCTCGCTTTATGTTTCGGACATCGAAATCCGATCTGGCGGAAATCCATCGCTTGGCTACAGATACCCAGCTTACAGACAAAACTTGGCGGGCTGCCCTGCATTTCAAGCTGACGGGGATAGAGGCTTGGCCCCTGTATTCCGGGGCATCCCGGTAGAACGGCAGCCGGAAGCTCACTTCCGTACCGTTGCTTCGGGGGCATTCTGGGTCCGCTCCGAGTTTTGGTGCCGGCACTCTACATACACACATACAGACAGCACTTCAAGTTTTCACCTCAAGTCTCAGCACACATTCGATCGCACGGGGAACCAAGGTTCTCACCGAAAGCTGGTCACTTTCACTGGAGGATATGAAACTTGCCTTACCCAAGATGACTGACGAGTCGTCACTGACTGACCGTGGTTCCCTGTATGTGTATGTATACTTGAATGACGTGCCATGAATCTCAACTCCCAACTCCAAGCAAAATAACATCATCCCCAGATTTTACCCGTCCAATCAGACGCCCTCTATCACAAGCTGATCAGAAACGATGTCCTCTTTCTTATCTTCCCTAGCTTCGCCTCCAACCAATCAAGACTCACCAAACCATCAAATCAACACAAATTACACTTGGTCATGTCCGTCAGAGACAAGGTTTGTGCACCCCTCCCTCCCCTCTACCGCTATCTCTGTTAGCCTCACTCCTATGTATGTACATATCCTATCCTCTTTCTATTCTAGAAGGCATTGCCCTTGTCCCCGGGTCGGATTGCGGGGTGGCTGTCTCGTCCCGCCGACCCGGAACCCCGAGATACGGAGGCATAGTTAAAATAATTCATAATTGTCACCACTCCCGAGGTAAGCTAGGCTGATTTCACCTCCGCCCTCTGTTCCGATTTATACTCTTGACTGGCGAACCTGATTCTCCCGAAAGGACGATGATCTCAGTAGCGGTTCTCTGTGATTCGTAACATAAGTACCAGTTAGAGCATTGAGTCTCATCTGCGTATGTTTTGCTAAGGACAAGGCAAATCCAGGCACAACATATTTTGCTAAATGCAACGCCTCCGGTTCCATAGCTCATCCGGGCATTGACGAGACTGTGTCGAAATCGCGCCTGATACAAATGGTCCCCCGTCAAGATCGGCACCAGCGGCCATCGCCAAGAGATAGCACAAAAATATTCTCATAGAACCCCCCAAAAGAGCAAATTACCTACGCCTCTAAGGTCCAAAACTCCATTATCCCTAACCTAGCAGTGAATGATGAATGCGTCCACCGGGTATCAATAAGCCAGTAGACTCCCAGCGAAGAAACAGTGTGCAGGATATAGTTGGGAGATGGAAATGAAACACCCCTGGATCAGAAAATACATAGCTTTCCCGATTGTTCCTCTCGCGTCAGCTCATATGACAATATGTCGTGGTTTCGATAGTGCAGCATCAGCCGATATCGCCTGGGCATCGCAGGCCCTACACCTCCGACCTTACCTCCGATCTCGTCTCCCACCTGGACTGGCCCCATGGCCATTCCATGCATAGGTCGCAACGTCTTGCGATGTTCCATCTCGTCGGATCCTGTCGGCAGCACCCACTCTACTCGAAATCCGTGCTCCCATGTTCCATCATCACGCTCCGCAGGGACAGCCCTCCGAGTCAATGTCAGAAGCACGACGCGCCCGGTTGGTGAACCGATAGCCACAAGTGAGAGCTCAGGGGCAAACGCAATCATGTTGAGTCTACTGGTTGCATGGAAATGTCGCCTCAGCCCAGGGTCGCGAAATCGTCCAAATTTGAGCGCGTCCGAGCAGATAACTCCAAATTCCGTCGGTGAGACTCTGCTCGGGATTGGAGAGAACGAGCGTAACTCTATGTCCTTCTCGTAGGTCCGTAACAGAAACAGCTTTTTCCCGAGATCTGCCAGATATGCTTCTGGCAACTGCGGATGCCGATTGTACTCAGGGGGTCTCCTCCAATAAGCCATCATCAGTTCTGCTTTCCGGGGTGTTCGACAGACTGTGTTGCTGTGAGGAAAATATGTCATGTCGAGCTTATGGACAGCCATTGCGTTCCCATTCGTAGCATGCCCCAGGTCT